GCCCCATGCCCTCACCAGGAATTTCCGCTTCTGCTTCCAGTGGCTGCCCTGGGCGTTGGTGCTGCGGTGGGCCTCCGTCACCACGTGGATCAGCTCCCACTCCTCCGCGCTGGGGTTGGGGCGATGCTGCAGCGACTTGATCATCTCCTCCTTCCGCCGCCGCTCCCGGTTCTCCTCGATCAGCTTCCGCTTCGCTACCCGCTTCGAGTCATCCAGCACCACTGCCGGGAGCCCCCCCATCAGCCAGCACCCCCCAAACCCCCCCTCATTGTGCTGTGCATCCCGACCCCACAGCTGCAGCGTGGCCCCCCCCCACGCCCGGCACCCCAACCCGCTCCTGCAGCTGCACCAAGCACCCCGCCCCACGGCACCGCCGGCCGTGCCGGGACCCCAACCCATCCCCACGACACCAGCAGGTGCCCCCCCCGCACTCACGGTCCATGGCCATGCCCACGGAGATGCACTTCTTGAAGCGGCAGAGCTGGCACTGGTTGCGGGTGATCTTGTCGATGACGCAGCAGCCATCGTACTTGCAGGAGTAGGTGGGGTGCAGGTTCTTCTGGATGGTCCGACGGAAAAAGCCCTGGGGACAGCGGGGTGGGATACGATGGGGTGAGCCCCGGTCAGCCCCCCTGCCCACCCCCTGCCCACCCACCCCCTGCCCTCTCACCTTGCAGCCCTCGCAGGTGATGCAGCGGTAGTGGTAGCCGGTGGCTTTATCCCCGCACACCACGCACTGTTCATCTTTGTCCAGGTAACTAGGGATGTACCCTGCGGGGCACCGCGCGTCAGGGACCCCCGGCGCGCCCCGCCGCCGCGACCCCCCAACCCGTGCCTCAGTTTCCCCCCTGCGGCAGCATCTGCCCCTGGCCCTGCCACCGCCCCCTGCCCTGCTGCGGGCAGCCCTGACATGGGAAGGGTTAAAAGCTGGGGAGGGTAGCTGGGGGGGAGCTGCCCGAGCCCCCCGCAGCAATAAAGCTCCCATTATCTGGCTCCCCAGCCGGCTGCGGGGGGGTGTCCCCGTCTCCCCGGGCACACAATGGCCCACTGTCCCCGCTATTGTCCGGGATCCCCCAGCCTGGCAGCCCGGGGACCAGCCCCCCAACGCCGCCCCCCCCCCCCCACCCGCCCCCTGGGGGGAAAGGGGCGCGGGGGACCCCCCACAAAAGTGG